GAGCGCTTTGCTATTTCTAACTATTTATGAGAATTTAGAATCTAGGAATTCTACAACAAGGTGTTCAATAGAGCTTGATTGAGGAGACTTCTATGATCAATTTGTATGTTCATTAGTGGATTTCGCATAACCAAGACCGTTCTTCTCATTGATTACCTATTCATTACGTTCGTTGTTCTTACTTAGTTCATTTATCATCATTGCTCGTGAAAACCCCCCTCGTTACTTAGGTTACTACCGTCCTAGAGTATTTCCACTTAGGTTTCCAGTTATTAGTCCCTTTTTCCCTGTGGATTCGAACTCGACTTCCCTAACTACGTTTATTTGCAGTTAGCTTAGTTGTGATATTTTTGGTTGCATACGACTGAGGCACACCAATATGTTTACATCATCCTACGAAAATAAACTTATCTTTTACACAGCTATAAGTTATGAAGTCCATCTTCTTCGGTTCATATCTCGGTCTTTGTGTTGAACCTTGATTGTTGAGGCTTGCCCCAGCATTACACCAGAACCAGGTCGTTACAACCCGTTTGAAGTTCCTTTTGAGAAACTTTGGGAAGTTCCATTGCTGGAACTCTTCTTCTGTTCTTTACTTGTCCTCATGGATCTTCTAAAGTTGCTCTGTTCCAGTTCCTACTTCAGCCTTCTACGCTTACTAAACCTGCCAACATCACAACACTAGAAAACCCTTATTAAAAGGAAGTTTGCTCAATTCTTAACATCATCAAAACCTCATAAGGGTCAACAATTTCCCCCATTTTGATGATGACAAACTGAGCAAACTTCTGAGGATGATAAGTAAAAAACAGAAGGTTAATTTTTCATTTTTCAATTTTTTTTTCATATAAGCAAAGCAAAGAAACAAAACAGAAATAAATAACAGAATGAAAAGAGAATGAAAAACAAACAGAAAGCAAAGAAAAATTTAGAGAAGAGAACAACCTTTGTTACTTACTCAACTGGAACTAGAACAACTTCAGCTTTCAAGTTTGCTCCTGCTTTTCCCCCTTTTGGCATCATCAAAAACGTGATTTTTCTAAGTTTTATTCATCTACTCACAGCCCCACAGGCAATTCATCGAATGTGTGAAGCTGGAAGCAGCGCTGGCTAGCTCTCTTAAGCTAGTACTTTCACACAAATTTTCCTGTTTATTCTCAACAATGCATGCAAGTATAGATAGAGTTCCATAGCATTTAACAAAACCAACCATCCAGAGTACTTAAAAATATTACAGACCAAGTTCCAAAATATTCAAAAGCAAATAAAGTTCAAAAACATCCATGAAAAAACATATCATTGTTTCAAAAACCAACAGGAAATATATTAAGCTAGGGTAAGCTGCAGAGGTGATTGTGGTTCAGGCATCAAGCGCTTTCAGAATTTGCTCAATATCTGCTTTGTTGTCATCTTGAGCTTTCTTCAGTTTTGCTTCGAGGCTTGAGATGGCTTTTTGGAACTCCTTAGCCTGAGCAACATTAGTCCTCTCCATTGTCTTCATCTTCCCTGCCAAGTCAAGGAGCTGTCCTTCAACCTGCATATGTCTATTAGACAAATCAGCTACTAGCTCATCAACTTCTCCTTCACCTTCGCTTAACTCCAGAGGATTAACAACACTTGTCTTAGCCTGAGTTCCAACAGAGAGCCTTCTGCTCTTCCTAACAGGAACTCTCAGCTGTGAATCCTCTTCCTTCTCCTTTTTCTTCTGAGCAGCCTCATATCTCACACACTTCCCCCTCACTACAGAAATACTCAACCCTCTCAGAGTGGTTTCATTTATCACATTTTCTCCTTTCTCCCTCATACGCCCATAAAAATCTTTCAACTGTACACCTAAATCTTCAAACACAAAAGCAAGAATTGCAACATATCCAACCTTTATTTCCTTTTCTATGCAATGATCTAAGTGTTGGATCATAATTGCTGGGAAATTGATTTTAATTTTCTTAGACATGCAAAAGATTAGAGCCATATCTAAATAGCACAATTCATTTTTCTTCTGTGTCCTTGGAACCAAGGACTTTTTCACCAAATTGAACAATAATTTGTGCAATGGAGAGAGATCATTGTGATTCATTACACTAACACTCTTTTTACCACCCAAGTAGTTTATAATTTCAGTTTTAGTGTGCCCTGCCACTTTTACAGTCACAACCCCTTTCATATAGGTATCAAACCCCTCACATGGAACTTGCAGAATAGACCCTAGTCTAGCAGCATCAAACTCAACATCAACCCTGGAACTGAAGCAGATCTAGAAATTCGAAATTCACCTTACTACACCATGCATCATCAATTCTATAGCCTACAACATACCTTTCAGCTTGTTTTCCCAAAGCTTTCTCATCTTCTTCCCCCTCAGAATTTTCTTTCCCTTCTTCAGGCTCCTCGTCTCTCGCCATCATATCTATTTCAAGAATTTGATTTTCCAGTGATTTTCCTGATTTTTCGGCTTTCCTCTTCTTCCATAAGCCAATTCGATCAAGAATGGAGGGTAAACTTCCAGTAGAGGAAGTTGCAGTTTCTTCAAGGGCTTTCGACTGGGTATTTTTAGGTTCTGAGGTGGTTTGGAGTAGCACTGGAGGAATTTCTTGGTTAATGGGTTGTGGGCTAGGTGATTTTGAAGGTGATCGCTCTTCTTGGTTCTTAGGGTTTTCTTGAGCCATGGTTGATTGTGGTTTAGCTGTAGAAATTTTGTTGTTGAGAGAGTTCAAGGGATTTAATTTGATTTGACTGTGAGTTAATGGAGTTGGTTGGGTAGTATTTATAAGGGGGTAAATATTTTAAGAGGTGTATAGAAGTTGGAGAGATAAGTTTAGGAACAATGAATTTTATCTGTTTTTTGAAAACTAATCTAGATGGAATTTTTACAATTCAAGAATTTATCTTTCCATACTTCATTTAATAAAAGATAATTCCAGAAGATAAATCTTCTTGAAAAGAAAAATAAAATTTTCAAAAGATAAAATTCATGGAACACGTCACATACATGTCTACATAGCTTTGAATAATATGTACAGTTTTAAATATGTGTTAATTACACTAACCTCCAAGATTTTACCAACGGTGACATTCCCGTTATGTTTATCACACCAAGTTTGTGATAGATGTTTTATTCTTCTAATTGATCTTGTTAATTGACAATGCCATATCTAGGAACTTCATTTGCAATCAATTCAGCTTGATCATTCCAAGTTCCAGTCTCATTTTCTCAAAGCGTTCTCTGCTCAAAGGCTTAGTTAGAATATCAGCAATTTGATTATCAGTAGGACAAAATTCCAACTTAATATAGCCTTTTTCCACATTATCTTTTAAGAAGTGGTGTCTAATGTGGATATGCTTAACCTTAGAATGTTGCACTGGATGTTTAGAAATACAGATAGCACTATTATTGTCACAATAAATTGGAACAAATTAAAATTTTAAACCAAAATCACATATTTGTTGTTTTATCCACAACATTTGTGAGCAACAAGCTGCAGCAGCTACATATTCAGCTTCTGCTGTGGACAAAGCAACTATATTCTGTTTCTTGGAACCCCAAGAAACTAAGCATGGGCCATGAAATTGAGTCATACCTGATGTGCTCTTTCTATTCATTAGATCACCTGCATAGTCAGCATCTGTATATCCAACTAAATCAATTGATTCATTTCTTGGATAATAGAGACATAAGTCATCAGTTCCTTTGAGGTACCTAAGTATCCTCTTGACTGCCTTGAGATGAGATTCCTTTGGATTCGCTTGGAACCTCGCACATAAGCCTAAACTGTAAGATATATCAGGTATACTAGCAGTTAGATATAATAAGGAACCTATCATACCTCTATACATCTTCTGATCTATGTAAGTTCCAGTTGTGTCTTCATCCAGTCTGGTGTTAGTTCCCATAGGTGTTCTTATAGTTTTGGAACTTTCCATCTTATATTTCTTTATGAGTTCCTTCACATATTTTTGTTGGTGAATCATTATTCCTTTCTCAGTTTGCTTAATTTGCAATCCAAGAAAGAAGTTTAGCTCACCCATCATGCTCATCTCGAACTCACCACTCATAAGGTCAGCAAAATACTTCACCAAAATTTTGTTAGTTGCACCAAAAATAATATCATCTACATATATTTGCACAACTAAAATATCAGTTCCTTTAGATTTCAAAAACAAAGTTTTGTCTATTTTACCTCTTTTAAAATCATTATCTAACAGGAACTTGGACAACCTTTCATACCATGCCCTTGGTGATTGTTTCAGCCCATAAAGGGCTTTATCAAGCTTATAGACATGATTTGAGAATTCTGGATCTTCAAATCTAGGAGGTTGTTCCACATAGACGTCCTCTTTTAATAGACCATTTAGAAATGCACATTTGACGTCCATCTGAAACAACTTAATTTTCATAAAAGCTACAAAAGCAATAAGAATGCGTATAGCTTCTAACCTGGAAACTGGAGCAAATGTCTCATCAAAGTCAATGCCTTCTTGTTGATTGTACCCCTTGACAACCAGTCTAGCCTTGTTTCTTACTATGATTCCATGTTCATCAAGCTTGTTTCTTAACACCCACTTTAGACCTATGACTTTCTGATGTTCCGGTCTAGGAACTAGGTGCCAAACTTTGTTTCGCTCGAATTCTCCTAGTTCAGCTTGCATGGATATGATCCAATCTGCATCTTGTAAGGCTTCATCATAGTTCTTTGGTTCCAAAGTAGATAGGAACGAGTAAAATGCACAGAAGTTCCTTAGCTGTGACTTGGTCTGAGTTCCTTTGGTTATATCACTCATAATTATATCCACTGGATGAGACTTTTGATATTTCCAACGTTTAAGGGTAAAGTCTTTGATTGGATACAACTTTTCAGGTTCAGCATTACTGTTTCTTGTCACTTGATTCAGTGGTTCCTGATTCTTAGGTTCTGGATTCTCAGGCTCAGGATGTTCCTCTTGTGGAACTTCTGTTTCAGTCGTAGTTTGGTTTTCAGCTCCTTGATTCTTGTTTTGCTGCTTCATGGATATTGTTGATTCCTCATCAGGTCATGTCTTCTTACTAACCCTATCTCGAAATCATCATCATCTTGTACATCAATCACAAAATCAGTTTCATCAAAAATTATATGTACAGACTCTTCAACACACATTGTTTTTTTATTATAAACTCTGTAAGCTCTACTATTTGAGGCATATCCTAAGAATACAGCCTCATCACTTCTTTCATCAAACTTTCCCAAGTTTCTCTTTCCATTATTGTGTACAAAGCACCTGCAGCCAAAAGATCTAAGATAAGAAATATTTGGTTTTCTTCCTTTAATTAGTTCATACGGTGTTTTGTTGGTTATTGCCCTAATAGAAACTCTATTCAATATGTAACATGCTGTGTTCACTACTTCTGCCCAGAAGTTCCTAGGCAGTCCACTGGAAATCAGCATAGTTCTTGCCATGTCTTCCAAGCTTCTGTTTTTCCGTTCAACTACTCCATTTTGTTGTGGAGTCCTGGGAGCAGAGAAGTTGTGGTTCATCCCATGTTCATCACAAAACTCATCAAATTTTGAGTTTTCGAACTCAGTTCCATGATCTGACCTTAGGTGAATCAATTTATGACATGTTCTTCTCTGTTCTTTCTTCACAAAGGAAACAAAGTGATCTAACGTATCATCCTTGCTTACAAGAAAGAAAACCTAGGCATATCTGGAAAAATCATCTACAATAACCATCACATACCTTTTTCCACTCCTGCTTTGTATCCTCATAGGACCACGCAAATCCATATGGATAAGTTCCAATGGTTTTGTGGTGCTTACCATATTCTTAGATTTGAAAGATATTCGTGTCTGCTTACCTCTTACACATGCACTGCATACTTTATCTTTTAGGAACTTGATGGATGGAAGTCCTTCCACAAGTTCTTTTGATCTAAGTTTATCAAGCAGAGATAAACTAGCATGGCCAAATCGTTTGTGCCATAATAAGGGATCATTCTCAATGACACTAAGACAAGTCAAACTACTACTTGGAACTTCATTGAGATCCACAATATATATGTTCCCTTTTCTGGTTCCTTCAAGAATGATGTTGTTACTGTCATTGTTAATGATTCTACAAAGATTAGAAGTAAAGCTAACTGAGTTACCAGTGAGAGAAATTTAGATTTGTCTCCAGTCATGTGCTTAAAACAACCACTGTTGAGGTACAAAGTGTTGTTCCCCCTCACTGGAACCTGCATGAAAACTAAGCGTTAGTTTCTGGAACCCAGGTTTCCTTGGGTTCCATTATTTTGGAAGAAGATTCAGATTTCTTCAACCATACCTGTTCAACATGCTCAGTATTCTTAAGAGTATTTTTATTTCTTTTAGGACATGCAGCTTTAAGATGCCCTGTACTACCACAATAGTAACATAGCTTTTGACTAGGTAGATCCACATATTTCTTGTTTCTCCTAGACTTCTTCTTATAACCTAGTCCTTCTTTATTCTTGTTATGAGTATTAGCTATCCAGGATGGAATTCCATTATTAATCACTTCTTTGCCTTTCCTTGCCCTAGCAAGTTCCTCCACCAAGGTTTGATTTTTTATTTTAACTTCTTCCAAATCAGATTTTAATTTCTCAAAATTTGGAAGTTGGCTTGCAATAGGAACTTCAGAGTTAGGGGAGTCAATTCCAAGTTTCAGTTGAGCTAATTCTACATTCAACAGAATATTATCATGTTTCAGTTTTTCAACTTGTTCTTTTAGAAAGACATTTTTACCATATAAGTCAAAGAATCTAGTTTGTATGTCAATTTTCATATTATCTACCCATTCGCTATGTTCTTTGTGAATTTTTAAAGCTTTATCAATTTGGAACTTCGACCTGTTTAGTTCTTTACAATCATCTTGAAGTTCCAGAATAATGTCCATAAGATTTCCTTTATTTAAATGTTTGAGTTGTCTATAGTCATACCATACCTCAGATTCAAGTTCCTTCAAACGAGCTTCATCATCAGTTTTGGCCATCAAACATAAATTGGCTGTTTCTTCTACGGATTCACCTTCTTCATCTTCTGAATCAGAGTTTCCCCATGCAGCCATCATGGCTTTTCTTACATCTTCCTTGGAGAATGATGATTTGTAATACTTGTTCTGTTCCTTGCCTTTATAGTTAGCTTTCTCGTCCTCCTTAGGACTTGTGTAGTCTCTGAGAAGATGTTCTTTGGAACCGCATCTGTAGCATTTGAATTCTTTGGAACTTGGGTGTCCTCGTCTGTTCTTTTCTCCTCTTTTTCCTAGCATTCTCCTGAACCTCTGTACAAGCATGGCAGTTTCCATATCGTCGTTTTCAGAGTCGCTTGATTCATAAGCCTTTAGAGCAAGGGTCTTGTTCTTGGAACTTTCAGAGTTGGCTCCAAGGTGGAGTTCATGAGTAAGCAAGGAACCATTGAGCTGTTCAAGGTTGAACTTGGTGAAGTCCTTGGATTCCTGCAGGGCAGTGACCTTGGATCTCCACCTCTCATCTTGAGGAAGAATTCTAAGGACTTTCCTTACCTGTTCATCAATGGGTATGGACCTGCCTAACGATTCTAACTCACTGATAATGTTAGTAAATCTAGTGAACATATCCTGAATGGATTCTTTGTGTAGCATTTCAAATCTTTCATATTTTGACATTAGTAAGTCAATTTTGGAACGTTTAACTTCATTCGTACCTTCATGTGTTACTTGCAGCAAATCCCAAATCTGTTTTGCAGACTTACAACCCATGATTCTATTGTGCTCATGAGGTCCTAGTCCACAATGCAATATTTTTACTGCTTGAGCATTTAACTCATACTTTTCGTAATCTTCTTTATCAAATTCAGCTATTGATTTAGGGATTACCTCTTTGTTTGCATTGGTTTTTGTTACATCGAAGTCACCACTTTCAATGACTCTCCATACTTGGTAATTTTCAGCTTTGATGAATATCTCCATTCTATTCTTCCAGTATGAATAAAACTTGCCATTGAGCATTGGTGGTCTTTGGGTAGAATACCCTTCTTCAAGTTTCTCGTGAGAATTCATCTCTTCAGGAACTTTACACTATAAGGTTGCTTGTAACTTCGTGAGAACCTGCTTTGATACCAATTGTTAGTTTAGATGAACTACTACGAGAGGGGGGTGAATGGTAGTAGGTTCCAATCGCGGAACTTATGCGGAAATAAACAATAAAAACATAAAGAAACTTAAAGCACACAGCAAGTTTTACGAGGAAACCTTCCAGTGCCTAACTGGAAGTAAAACCTCGGCCTTATTGGGACTTATAAACAAATTCCACTATAATAGGCAACTCTCTTAGTACAACCTATTACACAGACCTTTGCTTCGCAAGTTCCTCCTAACACACTTGCTGATTGATAAGAACCTATCCTATCAGACCTAAGACAAACTCAGGCACCTTTTTCGACCCAAGACACACTCAAGTTCCTTTCTCGCCCTAAGACACACTCAAGTTCCTTTTTCCCACTATGCAACCTAAGACACACTCGGGGTGACTGACTACCACTCGAATTTTAGAGAATTCAAACTCATACACTCAAACGTGAATTTAAGAGAATTCACAATCTCACCCCAAAACCAATTACAACGCAAAGACACAGTCTAACACATAAATGGAAAGCTACACATGAAACCCGAAATCAAAATAATAAAGCTTGAACCTTTGGCATACTTACTCCTAAGCACTAAGTGATTGTCACGCTTAAAACTCTCATCTTGCTAAGCTGAAATACTTCTATATTTATAGGAGTTTCTCAGCTTCTCAAACTAGGGTTTTCGCAAACAAGATAGATCAAACAGAAATCTGATCTTATCTTCCTTAAAACCGAAACCAAACGGATTTAATTTTGTTTATATGCAAACTAGATTTTATCAAATTCGTTTTTGTTAAAAGATAGAATTTTATGAAAAAGATAAAACCAAGTTAAACCAGATTTTATAAGATAAAATCAATTAAGTACTTTTTCATAAAACTTATAATTATCTTTTACGCATTAATTAGTTTGCCAAGCTTTATCTGATTTCTAATAAGTTCCATGCATATCTATCATTTTTATGTTTACATCATCCTACGAAAACAAACTTATCTCTTACACAACTATAAGTTATGAAGTCCATCTTCTTCGGTTGATATCTCGATCTTTGTGTTTAACCTTGATTGTTGAGGCTTGCCCCAGCATTACACCAGAACCAGGTCGTTACAACCCGTTTGAAGTTCCTTTTGAGAAACTTCGGGAAGTTCCATTGCTGGAACTCTTCTTCTGTTCTTTACTTGTCCTCATGGATCTTTTAAAGTTCCTCTGTTCCTGTTCCTACTTCAGCCCTCTACGCTTACTGAACCTGCCAACATCACAACACTAGAAAATCCTTATTAAAAGGAAGTTTGCTCAATTCTTAACATCATCAAAACCTCAAAAGGGTCAACAGAATGTGTTTGACTTTTATTCGATTCAAAAAGCTTTGTTTGAATGTGTTTGACTATCATTTGATTCAAAAAGCATTGTTTGAATGTGTTTGATTTTCAGTTGATTTAAAAAGCTTAATTTTAATTTGTTTTTATTTTCATTTGATTCTTTTTTTTTTTTTGGTAAGTAAGAAAGTATATTACTATAAAAAAACTGTAAAAATGTACAACTTTTACAGGCCTGACACAGGCAACTCCAAAGCTGCACAAAACCTAAAACAAAGGCCACCCCCACCTCAAGCTTTAAACTCCTCAGTTGCCACCTTGTAGGAAGGGTTCAACTGAAGGAGAGTAAAGCAAACCTAAATAGAAGCAGTCTGCTGCCTTCTAGGAAGGACACAGACTACAACTGAAAAGGGCTAACAAAAAACAAGAAAAACAACAACACAGCAACAAACCAAAACAAACTAATTTGGGATGCTGCTATACAGCTCCTGAATCCATTTGCGCTGCAATCTACTCCACTTCTTGTTTATAAAATGCTTGATTCTATCCATGCTCACCCTACCAATAGCGTTAGAAAGTTTTGAAGGGTGAATAACAACTTTCTCCCAGAAAGCAGTGTTCCTAGCAAACCAAATATGGTAGACAACAACTGCCAGAACTGCCAGAACAACCTTATGCTGCACCTTATCTTTTACTTCTTTGAGCCAATTCTTCCAAACCTCATCAATGTAGAAATTCTGAATTCGAATATGGAGCCAATGAGAAATTCTCGGCACACACTCTTGACTGTATTTGCAATTAAAGAACATATGCTGTCTATCCTCAATTTCAGCACCACACAGCAAACAACTATCTTCAGCACAGGCATTATATTTCCAGAGCTTCTCCCTTGTTCTGTGTCTATCATGCATAGCAAGCCATAGAATAAACGAGTGCTTGGGAATATTGAACTTATTCAATACCCATTTACACCAATCCACCTTTGTGCCAGCTCCCTGCAACCACTTATAGCACTGAGAGATTCTATAAGTACCACTCAACCAGTTGTTTTGCTCAAAACCTTCTTTTAACTGGTCCTTCACTGCACACAATCTCCTCCAAGCCCATCCTGCAGATCTCTTAGGACTATAAGTCCACCAGTCTTGTCCTTTAATGTACACAACACGAACCCATTTCACCCATAGAGAATCCTCTTTTTTAGCTATTTTCCACACATACTTCCCCAATGCTGCCCTGTTCCACATCCCACAATCTCTAACTCCTAAACCACCCTCAGCTTTGCTCATGCAAACCCAATCACAAGCAATTGGGGGTGCCTTAGACAAAACAACATCTCCACACCAAAGGAAAGCTTTGCAAAGCTGAGTAATCCTCAAAATAACTAATTTAGGTAACAACACACACTGAACCCAGTAAGTGTGCAAAGTAATCAGTACAGGGTTCACCAGCAATACTCTTGCAGTATAAGACAACTTTCTGCTGGACCAGCAAGTTATTCTAGCCAACATCTTATCTACAATAGCATCAAAGTCTGAGACTCTCAAATACTTAGCATTCAAAGGGATGCCAAGATATTTGAAAGGAGTTTCTCCTATTATAAATCCAGACTCAGTCACAATTCCTTGCTGCACTTCAGGTTGCACACTCCCAAAATAGATAGCAGACTTATCAGCATTAGCCTGTAAACTAGAGCAACCCTCAAAAGCTTTAAGAGCCCTCACTAAAAGGGAGATAGATTTCTTATCAGCATAGGAGAACAACATCAAATCATCAACAAATATTAAGTGATTTAACGTCAAAGACTTGCATCTCCGATGAAATCTAAAGCCTCTCTTTGCAACCACTTTTTTTAGCAATCTTGATAGATACTCCATCACAATGACAAACACCAATGGTGACATAGGATCACCTTGCCTGATCCCTTTCTTGCCCTTAAAAAAGCCATTTAGACCACCATTAATCATAATAGAAAAAGAAGGGGAAGTAACACACTCCATGACCCAAGAAATGAATCTACTTGGGAAATTCAAAGTCTGCAACATATCATGAATAAAAGACCAGTGCACAGAATCATAAGCTTTCCTCAAATCCACCTTGATAGTACATCTAGGAGATTTTCTCTTATTATTGTACTCTTTTAACATATCCTGGCACACTAAGATGTTGTCTAAAATAGATCTTCCAGCAATAAAAGCACTTTGATTCTAACTAATCAAACCAGGCAGCACCTCTTTGAACCTTTCACACAGCATCTTAGAAATGATCTTGTACAACACATTACAGCATGTTATTGGCCTAAACTGAGTAACTCTAGTAGCATTATCTAATTTAGGAACTAGAGTCAAAGTAGTTGCATTCACCTGTTTCAGCAGCTGACCATGCTCAAAGAACCCCAAAACTGCCTTACACACCTCATTTTTCACAACTCCCCAAGCATTCTTGAAAAACTTGCTCGAGAAACCATCAGGACCAGGTGCCTTGTCATCCTCAATACTCCAAACAACACTTCTCACATCCTCTTCAGTAAACCCTCTACATAGACTCAGATGTTGCACATCATCCAAAATAGGACCTGCAGCTATAACAACATGATAGACTTGTCTATAACAGCTTATGCAATTTTATCAGGATCCTGAATGATATCACCATTCTCAAGCTGGATGCTGTACACATTATTATGCATTCTTCTCGTCCTAATACAAGCATGAAAGTAGGAAGAAGTGACATCACCTTCTTTCATCCAATGCAACTTGGCTTTCTGCTTCAAAATTTTCAATTTTGCAGTATGAACAGCTAAAAACCTTTCCCTAGCATCACTTTCCATTTGAATCAACTCCAAATTCCGAGGGTCATTATTCAGCTGACACTGCACATTTTCTAACTCAGCATCAGCAATGATATTTGCACTCTCCACTGAGGAGAAATTAGTCAGATTTAAGAACTTGAGAGCTTCTTTCACCTTTTGCAGCATTTTCACCACAATAAACATATCAGTTCCTTTCACATCACTGTTCCTAGCCTGTTTTACAGCTTCCTGGTAGCCTGGAGCATCAATCCATATATTAAAAATCCTAAAAGGTTTCTGAAAATTCCAATTACACCCAAATAATCTTATAATACAAGGACAATGGTCCATTAGCCCCTCAGGCAAAAAATCAGCTCTAAACTCCCTGCAGTTTTCAGTCCATAGCTCATTAACTAAAATCCTATCAATCTTTTTGCACACTCTATCACTCCCTTGTTGCTTATTATTCCAAGTGTAGAATAACCCCCCAGCTTTAAAATCAATTAACAAGTTTTGCCTAACACATTGTCTGAAATTTTCAATCTCAGCAAAGGTAACTGGGGATCCAATTTTGTCCTCAGTATTTAGGACATTATTGAAATCACCTCCCAAGATCCATGGACCATGAGTGTCGTTTTTTATCTCCCCAATCTGATGCCACAACACCTCCCTCTCATCTGTAGTGTTCAACCCATAGACAACAGTATACCAGAACACAAACTTAGAAGCCTTGTGAACGACATTCACATGGATTAATTGAGCTTCTACTCTATCAATCTTTACCTGAAAGACATCAGGTAGCCACACAATCCAAATTCTCCCTCCATGATGCTTACTATAGTTTGCAGTCACAGACCACTTGCCACAAAAACCAGTGAAGACCTTACCAAAATTACCAGCCTTCACTTTAGTCTCTAGGAGCCCTAACAAACCAATTCCTTGATTTTTCATAAACCAAAGAACATCACAAATTTTATTCAGTTTGTTAAGGCCCCTGACATTCCAAAAACCCCAATTATCCATGGAGAGTGTATGAACACTCCCCTGTCCCAGTCACCAAACAACACTCTCCCATTTGTTGTTCTGCACAGTGAGCCCATATCACATTTATCACCACCAGCTATTTCAGAAACAATATTTGTATCAGCATCAACATCAAACTTGTTCTTATCCACTCTAATGCCTTGAGGTTACTCTGTCTACTGACTCTTTTGCTGAGCCTTTGGCATCCAAACCTTCCACACCTCAGGCTTCTTCTGCTGCCTTTGTTGCTGATTCCTAACTGGTGGATTCTGATTCTTGATTCTATGATTAGGACATTCACTATATCCATGCCCCATACCTCTATAGATATTACAAATGATAGGCTTCCTTTCATATATCACTTTTTGCTTAACATCAACACCACATTCATCCTGGAACTCAATCTCATCTAGTAGCTCACCATTTATTTTCACCTTGACCGTTATCCTAGCATACTCAAGCATTTCCTCGGTAGCTGTGCATCTATCAGTCTTAACTGGATCTCTAATTAAACCAGCTATCTTCATTAGAGAGGATTGACCCCAGAATTTTAAATTCAATCCTAGCAATCTAACCCAAGTGGGAACTTCAAACACCTTCTCATTTCCTAAATCCAAACCTGGCTCCCACCTCTTCATCATTACAGGTCTACCATCAAACATAATAGGTCCAGAGTTCATCACCTTTTCCCTTCCTACCATTGTCTTGAATCGAACAAGGAAAACCCCATTATTCATAGCAGAAATCCTATCTATTCCATATTTTCCCCAAATTCTTCGCACAAACCCACTCATTACAGATAATGAAGGTTTACCACAAAGAACATAACATACAATTGCAGATTTCCAAAATTCAATTTCAGGTAGGACATCTTCCTCAGTTAACTTGACTTTCACCTCTTCCCTATTACCCAACATGGATTACACTCAACTCCAGCCTTACCAGCAAGATTAAAACCCTCATCAATCGTGTTCTTAAAAATACTACTGCAGCTAATACCCCCCGATTCATTAGGAATGGCAGAAATAGGGGTTTCAAAACGTGGGTTTCGAAATTGGGGGTTCAAAAAGTTTTTCTCCAAATTCACATGAAAATCATTCCCTAACCTATCAGACTTATTAATCATCAAAAATGGAGTCGGATTAATAGACCCAGTACTAACATCAGAATCTACTGTTCCATTGAAATGCACAGGACTAGGGGTTCTAATTACCTTCAACCATCGATTGAACTCTTCACTATGTAGAGCTTTATCCTCCTCCGTCACCATTCTCACCAGAATCTCCTCAATCGCCTCCCCATCAAGCCAGCTTTCAACCGAAACATCATCCATGGTCATGCTCTGTTTTTGCTCTTCGAGGTTCCTCGTTCTTGGCTTTGTTTTCTTCTTCCCTTTCGAGTTTTAGCCCGAGGATTTCTTCCACTTCCCTTTCCTCCTTTTTGCCATGGAAATCGGCTTCCAAAAAGCTTAAAACTCAAGCTGAAAATGGCGGGTTTCTTTCTCTCCCTATAGTATCTCTCTCCTACTTTCTCTCTCTAGAGTTTCTCTCTCCTATTTTCATTTGATTCTATAAGCTTTTTTGACTGCATATGACTTTCCTTCGATTCAAAAAGCTTTGTTTGTATTTGTTTGTCTTTCATTCGATTCAAAAAGCTTTTTTGAATGTGTTTGAATTTCATTTCATTCACAAAGCTTTATTTGAATGTGTTTGACTTTCATTTGATTCAAAAAACTTTGTTTAAATGTGTTTGACTTTCATTTGATTAAAAAATCTTTGTTCAAATGTTTTAACTTTCAAAAAGCTTTGTTTGAATATGTTTGAATTTGTTTGAATGTGTTTGAATGAGTTTCCCTTTCATTTGATTGTAAAACCTTTGATTGAATACAATTATCTTTCATTCGATTCAAAAAGCGTTGTTTTAATGTGTTATGTTTTCATTTGATTCAATTTGCTTCTTTGAATTCATATAACTTTCATTCGATTCAAAAAGCTTTGTTTGAATGTTTTTGACTTACATTTGATTCAAAAAGCTTTGTTTGAATGTGTTTTACTTTCATTTGATTAAAAAAGCTTTGTGTGAATATTCTTTACTTTCATTTGATTAAAAAAGCTTTGTTTGAATGTGTTTGAGTTTCCTTTGATTAACAAACCTTTGTTTGAATGTGTTTGACTTTCATGTGATTAAAAAATCTTTGATTTAATGGATTTCACTTTTATTAGATTCAAAAGATTTATTTGAATGTGTTTGACTTTAATTAGATTCAATAAGGTATTTTGTAATGTGTACAACTTTCGTTTGATTAAACTAGCATCTTTGAATGCATATGACTTTCATTTGATTAAAAAAGCTTTATTTAAATGTGTTTGACTTTCATTAGAATACAAAAGCTTTGTTTGAATGTGTTTGACTTTCATTTCATTCAATTAAGTATGTTGAATGCATTTGACTTTATTTGATTCAAAAAGATGTGTTTGACTTTCATTTGATTCAAAAAGCTTTGTTTGAATGTGTTTGAATTTCATTTCACTACAAAAGCTTTGTTTGAATGTATTTGACTTTCATTCGATTCAAAAACCTTTCTTTGAAAGTTTATTACTTTTAATTGATTCAAAAAGATTACTTATAATGTGTTCAGCTTTCATTTGATTTTAATAGCTTCTTTGAATGCATATGACTTTTATTCGATTTAAAAAGCTTTGTTTGAATGTGTTTTACTTTAATTTGATTAAAGAAGCTTTATTTGAATGTGTTTGACTTTCCTTTGATTCAAAAAGCTTTGTTTGAATGTGTTGGACTTTAATTTGAATAAAAAAAGCAATGTTTAAATGTGTTTGACTTTCCTTCGATTCAAAGAGATTTGTTTGAATGTATTAGGCTTTCTGTTGATTCAAAATACTTTGTCTGAATGTGTTCGACTTTCATTTTAATCAATTAGCTTCATTGTATGCAATTTGACTTTCGATCAATTTAAAAATCTTTTTTTTAAGTGTTTAACTTTATTTGATTCAAAAAGTTTTGTTTGAGTGCAGTTAACATTTATTCGATTCAAAAAGCTTTGTTTAAATGTATTTGACTTTCATTTAATTCAAAAAGCTTTGTTTTAATATGTTATGTTTTCACTGATTTATTTAGCGTCTTTGAATGCATATAACTATCATTCGATTCAAAAAGCTTTCTTTGAATGTGTTTGACTTACATTTGATTCAAAAAGCTTTGTTTGAATGTGTTTTACTTTCATTTGATTCAAAAAGCTTTGTTTTAATGCATTAACCTTTCATTCGATTCAATTAGATTCTTTGAGTGCATATGACTGTCATTCGGTTAAAAAGCTTTGTTTCAATGTGTTTGACTTTTGTTAGATTCAAAAAAATTTGCTTGAATGTGTTTTACTTTCATTAGATTCAAAAAGCATTGTTTGAATGTGTTTGAATTTCATTTGATTCAAAAAGCTTTGTTTTAATGTGTTCTGTTTTCATTTGATTCAATTAGCTTCTTCAAATGCATATAACTTTCATTCGATTCAAAAAGCTTTGTTTGAATGTGTTTGACTTACATTTGATTCAAAAAGCTTTGTTTGAATGTGTTTTACTTTCATTTGATTCAAAAGGCTTTGTATGAATATTCTTGACTTTAATTTGATTAAAAAAGCTTTGTTTGATTGTGTTTGAGTTTGCTTTGATTAACAAACCTTTGTTTGAATGTGTTTCAGTTTCACGTGATTCAAAAAACTTTAATTGAATGCATTTGACTTTCATTCGATTCAAAAGATTAGTTTGAATGTGTTTGACTTTCAATAGATTCAATAAGATATTTTGTAATGTGTACAACTTTCATTTGATTCAACTAGCTTCTTTGACTGCATATGACTTTCATTTGATTCAAAAAGCTTTATTTGAGTGTATTTGACTTTCATAAGAATAAAAAAGCTTTGTTTGAATGTGATTGACTTTCATTTCATTCAATTAACTGTGTTGTGCATTTGACTTTATTCGATTCAAAAAGATGTGTTTTAATTTGTTTAACTTTCATTTGATTCAAAAAGCTTTCATTGAATGTGTTTGAATTTCATTTCATTCAAAAAGCTTTGTTTGAATGTATTTGACTTTCACTCGATTCAAAAACCTTTCTTTGAATGTTTATTTCTTTCAGTTGATAAAAAAAGATTACCTTTAATGTGTTCAGCTTTCATTTGATTTTATTAGCTTCTTTGAATGCATATGACTTTCATTCGATTTAAAAAGCTTTGTTTGAATGTGTTTGACTTTAATTTGATTAAAAAAGCATTATTTGAATGTGTTTGACTTTCCTTTAATTCAAAAAGCTTTGTTTGAATGTATTTGACTTTAATTTTAATAAAAAAGCAATGTTTTAATGTGTTTGACTTTCCTTCGACTCAAAAAGCTTTGTTTGAATGTGTTAGACTTTCAGTTTATTCAAAAAACTTTGTTTGAATGTGTTCGACTTTCGTTTTAATCAATTAGCTTCATTGTATGCATTTGACTTTCAATCGATTTAAAAATCTTTGTTTAGTGTGTTTAACATTAATTTTATTCAAAAAGCTTTGTTTGAATGTGTTTGAATTTCATATGGTTCAAAAATCTTTGTTTGAATGTGTTTGACTTTCATTTGATTCTAAAAGATTTGTTTGAAAGCATATAAACATTCATTCGATTTAAAAAGCTTTGTTTGAATGTGATTGACTTTCATTTGATTCAAAAAGCTTTATCTTAATGTGTTCTGTTTTCATTTGATTGAATTAGCTTCTTTGAATGCATATAACTTTCATTCGATTCAAAAACCTTTGTTTGAATGTGTTTGACTTTTATTTGATTCAAAAAGCTATGTTTGAATGTGTTTTACCTTCATTTGATTCAAAATGCTTTTTTTTTTTTTTTATATATTTTTTTTACTTTAATTTGATTAAAAAAGCTTTGTTTGACTGTGTTTGACATTCCTTTGATTATCAAACCTTTGTTTGAATGTGTTTGACTTTCATTTGATTCAAAAATCTTTGATTGAATGCATTTAACTTTCATTCGATTCAAAAGCTTTGTTTGAATATGTTTGACTTTCAATTTATTTAATAAGATATTTTGTAATGTGTAAAACTTTCATTTGATTCAACTATCTTCTTTGAAATCATATGACATTCAATTGATTCAAAAAGCTATATTTGAATGTGTTTGACTATTATTAGAATCAAAAAGCTTTATTTGAATGTGTTTGACTTTCATTTCATCCAATTAACTATGTTGAATGCATTTGACTTTATTCAATTCAAAAAGATGTGTTTGAATTTGTTTAACTTTCATTTGATTCAAAAAGCTTTCATAGAATGTGTTTGAATTTCATTTCATTCAAAAAGCTTTGTTTGAATGTATTTGACTTTCATTCGATTCAAAAACCTTTTTTTTTTTAATGTTTATTTCTTTCAATCGATTCAAAGAGATTGCTTTTAATGTGTTCAGCTTTCATTTGATTTTATTAGCTTCTTTGAATGCATATGACTTTCATTCGATTCAAAAAGCTTTGCTTCAATGTGTTTGACTTTAATTTGATTAAAAAAGCTTTATTTGAATGTGTTTGTCTTTCCTTTAATTCAAAAAGCTTTGTTTGAATGTGTTTAACATTAATTTGAATAAAAAAAGCAATGTTTTAATGTATTTGACTTTCCTTCGATTCAAAAAGCTTTGTTTGAATGTGTTAGACTTTCATTTGATTCAAAAAACTTTGTTTGAATGTGTTCGACTTTCGTTTTAATCAATTAGCGTCATTGTATGCATTTGACTTT